TAAAATCATTTCAAAAGACTACGTAACGGCACGTGTCGCCATAGAAAACCCCGGACAGCGCCAACGTAAAATCGCGCCCTCTATCGGTATATGATGTGTTTTTAAGGTTTTTAAGCCAATGAGAAACAACTGGCAAATACAAACGAGATTTATAGTGTGGCGCATGACGTTAGGTAATTACAGATAATGTCAACCACGATGGACCCATATGAACGATCCCAACTAATTATTGAAATCGAAGAAGATATAGACTATTTGTATGTTCTGCGTCGACGGCTTATCATCATGTTACAAAACAACACTATTAATCCAAACAGCAATTCGAGGACCGAGTTACACGACAAAATACACGGGGTATCGCACTGTGCAATGAATTAATTGAGAAATGGCATCGCACGTGGGATCGACTACGTGGACCATGGGAGGCAGATTGAATTACTCAATCACCAAACCAAATGGCCCTTTTCAGGGCCACCACATCCTCTCTTAAGAGACCATACCGTTTCTTGTGATAATATTATTTCGGATATATATTTGTTTTTGAGATATCTTAGAGAACTTTATTGATCTGAAGAGATAATAAAGGCACCATTAACCTCATACGCATGGTTTTTCTGTTTTTATATAATTTTCCAGTCAATGTTCGGCAAGTCACCAATTATACACTAGTACTTCGCATTGTTCAATGCACACTCTATGTAGTTGCGTGGACTTTTGCGATGAGGTGTAAGGAGGTGATACAAAGTATGACTGGACTTGTTTCCTTCGTTACATTAATACATAGCCCTACTTGTCATATACACGGAAGTTAAAATTATCTACGTTTCTAACTCTTGCCATATGTGGAACTAATTAATTAAATCGTCAAATATGCCACTAATGTAGAAGAACTGACGTTTCAGAGTTCCAGATTTAGAGAATCACAGCTTTTTAGCAAATGAGTGGTTCGAATTAATTACATTGTACTGTAAATGCATTAATCACTCGTTATTTTATTTTCGGTATTTTTTTTATAAGGTAATATTATCTCCATGATTAAATCTACGTGTACATGTATAATGACAACACGTGAACTTAAAACCCAATAAATATGCTCAAAATAGTGAAAATAAATGGTTTTACAGTATATATATATATATTGATTTTATTTGTTAACATTATGAGATCAGGGAAATTGTTGGCTACAATTAAAAGTTTGTCACATGCAGGAGAGTGTGGTCAATACATGCTTGACTGAGACAGGAAGTGTCGTCTTTGTTAAAAGAATGCCACCTGTGGATGTGTGAATTGAGACTAGAAAATATGCACCATTTCAACAAACTATCAATAACAGCGAATTTCTTTATTCTAATTATTGAAATAAATGCATAAAAGGATGACATGATTTCGCACTGCGATACAGGAAGGTTGATAAACATTCAAAATCACTACCACGTTTCAAAAAAAAAAACTTTCGATGTATGTAGATGTGAATCAGGTGAAATGTTTCACATCGCCATATTCTATTAAATATTTAGGAGTCCTGTAACCGCACAACGGGTGATGGTCATTTCCTGTCTTTTGATGCAATTGAGGTATGAGGCGGGAAACATTAAGCATGGTTACTTGTTCTTTTTAGCTGTCACATATACAACATCTAACGTTATAGGCATTTATTTCTAAGGTCAGTGTTTTTGTTGACTTTATTTATCAGTACCGCATACAGTGACGGGAGTTTACATTTATATACCTGTCAAAACCACGTGAATACTTTAAATATAACAATATGTATGAAACTCGTTTCCATGCAACGCGTCAGTCAATGTAGTAAAGATCATTCAGGGATATGCAAGTATTCCACGCTTTCACAGTCAGGGCAATTAGAGACAACTGGGCCCTGGTTTATTGTTTGACGCATACGTCATGCATATAGTACAAGTGTAGGTGTCACAATCAAGTTGAATGTCCACGACTATGGACCCATTTGAGCACAGACCCCTTTGTACGCCCATGATTTGAGCTCTCCCAGCTTAATATTGAAATAGAAAATAACGTGTCCATATCAATGACCAGCGTTACAGGTTGGTACCAATTTCATATAACAACACTGCTAAATTCAGCAGCAGCACTACGAGGACTAAATCACGTTACATATACAAGTACTTATTGCGGAATGCAATGAATTTATCGAGAATTGTATACAAAATTCGGATCTTCTTCACATACCACGAGTGGATTGCGATGCTGATATCGATCATGACTCAATCCTTATACAAAACTACCTTTTTCAGGGTCACCGCATCCTCCCACATATTATTCTGTTCATACCATTTATTACATGGTATTTTCAGCATATTTATTTCTAAATAAATGTTGTTTTGACCGTAGTGGTGTTATATTCCTTCAATGGTTTTGACCAATTCGACATTAGTCTCACACTAAACATATGTATATGTATTCCCAGTAACATTTTATGGCTAGTTATCACTTGAATTTATTCTCGGAAACCGTTCATACTTCCATCATTCCATACATTCATCGAAGTGTGACCAATGAAACACGCAGGATTATTGTGTCATTTCACCAAAGACGTGAGAAAATTGCTCCCCTGTCGACGATAACATTCATGTGTTCCCCGATTGACTTGAAGGTTGACCAACGAGGAGCAACTTGCAAATGTGCACCGTGCACTGTGACAACTCATCATTTAGGCATGGAGGTAAACGGACTCTATTTATAACATAGAATCACAATAAGGCTGAACTCGGTTTACCTCCAAGGTTCCAGTCACTGGCCGCTACTCTGATGCGACTCTGTCTGGCACAGTATGATAATAAACACCGTTGAGGGCAGTACAGCCAACAAGGACGACAGCCAATGAGACCAGTCTTGAGCTGTAACAGCTTTTGACGTCACCGAGTATAATGTAGTTTGTTTCATTTGCATCGACTTTAATTACGACATTTTGTAAATATATAAGGTCAATTGTGATAAATTTGAAGGTACGGGCCTAAATGTTGGGATAAACGAGATATTGCAGAGTTAGGCAGTTAACTTTATCGGGTCAAAGTTTGAGGGCTATCAGTTTAATATGCCTTCGAATATATCCACTGATATGTTATTTTTCTCAAAGGTTGATTTAGTCATACAAGCTAGATGCAAAATATAAAGTTGATCGGTTGAAGTGCCCATGGGAAAAAAGTGCAATTTTGTTAATTTTTGTTAACGCATCAGTAAAAGAGTACTTCCCGTGCGGCCAAATCACGTGACCATTCATCACGTGACAAACTCCTAAACTTTAACGTGCTTTACACACAGATGCTAAAAAAAAGCTTTCACGTCAGTGGTTCTGAAGAAGATGTTTACGCAAGTTTCTGATGATTTGACGTTTTTCAAACATAGCGAAAAAAGTCACTCGACCGAAAACATATAATACCATATACAATTCTGAAAGTCAGGTAAACCAAGTCACATTAGGGTCTATCATCATAGAAAATTGCAGACCGTTCCGTTCAGCGGTTTTCTCAAGACGGCTTGACGAAAAAACGGTGGAAAAAGAAGAAAATATAAATAAGAACAAAAGGCCTAAAATGGACCTGGACTTTAAAATCACATTAATTAGATCATGAAGGTAAAAGACAGATTAGATTAATCTCCAAGGCATGAAATAACGCACAAGTAAAGTCGTTGAGATATTTTCCGACACGAGTACATCACAGTTACATGTGAAAAACATGTTTTAATATGTGCATATCGGTGGAGTGCTTCTCGATAATCAGAATCCTCAATTGAAGTACTTTATTTCTACGATATGTCATGTTCTCGAGTCTGACTCTATTTTTTGTAAGTAAAATCTCTTTATTCTCATAAACAGTCATATACCACGTGACATCGAACGCAGACCAAGTTTTACAGTGTTATAAAACACATCGGGCCATCTGAAAAAAAAACACTGCCCATTGAGCTGTATGGGACACCATGATGTCGGTAACAAATGAACTAATATAACCTAATAATATAACCAATAGGTGCCCACACATACAATAAAATACGAACACGACCACGGCAAACGTTGTGCCACTGCAAACAGATGTGCACGCGATATCGCGATAACCTGGGACTACTTGAGTACTTGAAACATGTTAATTAAATCTTGAGGGACACCCGGTAGTTCCTGCACGGCCACAGTTCTCATACGCCGGATTGTTCTGGTGTATTCAACGTAAAACGACCAATTGGACGTCCTTGAACTGATGAACAGAGGAACTCCTGTCGACACAACAAAATGTTCTATGTTAATTATCTGCTGAATGCGATTGTCTCGTGTTATCAACTCTTAAAGATTATGTGTATGTTCACCGTTATAACGAACTATGTTGTGTTCATATATAGGATATCAAGCAGTGATTGTTCATTTCTGATCACAGCAATATATAATTTGACAGACATAATATTTTATTTTCAGTTACTATGTATGGAAATATAAATTGATCTAAATATTTACAAATAATAGAACAAGAAATTGGTCATTGGGGGGATTATCATTATATCCCATCCTCCCTGGTATAAGTTATAAGGATACTTTCATATGTTCGCTCGTACTTACGTTCAGCTATTTCTTGCTCTATTAACGATAAAACATAATTATCATTTCGATACTTGGCAGATTTAGGAACCATTTTAAATACATCATTCAGACCAAACACACTTAATGATTTATTTCGGAGATTGTTTGTGAGAACCTATTGAAATAATGACATAGGTGATATGTACTGGGTATTGAAAAGAAACAAAGATAAAAGCTGCCAAACATTTATTTATTATGTGCTTATTCATAAGCCGAGTGTGGTGGGCGTGGCAAGTCGGAAGCTTTGTGCACACTGTGATGTAAATGTTAATTGAAATGCGACTGAATACATCTGTACTGTGAGTCCGTGTGCACAAAGTAGCACTGTGAAATACTTTATTTTAGCTGGAATTAATTTTCGCTGAAAAGACTTTTCGGGTGTTTTGTATGGAATTTGTTTTCACTGATTTTTGGCGAGTTGAATGTGAAATATAGAGGGAAAAAAAGGTATATTCGCTGGAATTAATTTTCGCTGAATCTTTCCTTCAGCGAAAATTAATTCCAAGCGAAAATAAAGTATTCTACAGTATATTCTTCTTCCACTTATTACTACACTGACCTCCTCTATTAACATAGTACGTACTTCACCATGACAACATGATCAGTCTGTAATGTATTACGGACGTAAAACTGTTAGCCAACAATTTTATTAAAACGAATAATATGAAGCACACATACCTGTTTATATTCTATTGGAGCTGCAACATATATACACGATAAATTGTAAGACGCCAATAACTTTTTAATGGAAGTTACTATTCCATCGAGTGCATTATGTAAGGCCTTAAGTTCAGCCATGCGCCCTGGCTTGCAGTGATGTAAAGTTTTACACCTACAAAATAGTAAGAATACCAATAATTATCACATCACAGGCCAAGTTATACCGCCTTGACAAGAAAACATGCCGTTCATACCTTGGTCGTACTACGTCATCGCACTGCGAGCCAATGGAAGCCATGTGCGATTTCTTAAATGTTTTGTCCTTGTACAGAACGACCCAGAAGAGTAACTAAAGTCAAAAGGGTATATGTGTTTACCGAATAAACAGTACATATGATTGTGTTCACGATATAAATTTCCTGGTCACTAGATTGGGCAATTTTTTTTTTTT